AAAAAAAAATAAAAACTAAAAAAAAAAAGACAATCTTAGAAAAAAAATGTAAAGCATAAAAAAAGGAGAAAAAAATATATATTGATAAAGATAATATAAAAAATCATAAAAAAATCATGTGAGGGTAATACTGTAGCAATTCACAATGTTTTAGAAAAAAAACTACGAAGCAAAATTCTTAATCAACTCAATATGAAAAAACATACAATTCTATAAAAAAAACAAAAAAAATCATAAAAAAAACCATGTGGCGTAATACTGTAGCAATCCACGGTGTTTTAAAAAAAAAATTACAAAGCTGACTTTTAACCAGCTCTATATTAAAAAAATAAAATTAACAAAAACAATTTAAAAAAAAAACACAAAAAACAACAAAAAGAAGATGAAGAAAAAGACAATTACGGAAGAAAAAAAAAACATGGAAGAAAGTTAAAACTAAATTCTTAACCAGTTTAATATTAAAAAAAATCAACAAAGATAATTTTAAAAAAAATACATATGGAAAGCACTATAACAAAACAAAAACTATATGAGGAAATATTGTAATAATCTATAGTGTTTTTTTTTTTAATTACGAAGCATTCTTCAAAGATCATTTTGAAAAAAAAAAACAACAAGAAGAATAAAATTCATAAAAAAATAAAAAAAATCATGTAGGGAAACATTATAGTAATCCATAATGTTTTTTTAAAAAACTACATAACTGAATTTTTAATCAATTTAATAAAAAAAATTAATAAAGATAATTTTTAAAAAAACATAAAGACAAAAAAGAATAAAAACTAAAAAAAAAAGACAATCTTAGGAAAAAAAATGTAAAACATAAAAAAAGAGAAAAAATAAAAAAAATATATGGAAAAAAAAACAAAAAAAAAGGCACAAAAAAAAAAGTTGCATGTGGCACCACTCCTTTTAGAGTATTGTTAATTAGTTCCAGCTGGTGCATGCTAGTCTGGTAAGGGACTCTTCTCAAGTAGTCTGATCAAGTCCCAACTACTTTCTGTATATATTATATCACAAGAAAACGCAGCAAAAGAGTGAAGTCATCCTCTTTATATGGTAATGGCTGAAAAAACGAAGTAAAATTTTTAGTTTGAACTTTGTATTCTGAGCCACCTTTATTTAATGAAGAATTTAAGACAGTTGATGGTATTTCAACTGCACATTTACTCAAGTTGTTGTAAACATTAACTTTCCTCACCCACCGCAGACCCCTTCGCGTTAGCAGTATCAATGCCAATCCCATGCAGACTTGTATAAATACACATAACAGACGCATTAACCATTCTCATCAAGAATCAAGACTTTACTAGACTCTTAAAAATGGCTAATGAAAGAGATCTCTTGTCCACCGAGATTGTGAAGCACGGGGTCGAGTCTTCAGGGCCCAATGCTGGTTCACTAACATTTTCAGTGAGGGTCAGGAAAAGGTTGCCTGACTTTCTTCAATCGGTGAATCTAAAGTATGTCAAGTTGGGTTACCATTACCTTATCAATCATGCCATCTACTTGGCTACCATTCCTGTTTTGGTCCTCGTGTTTAGTGCTGAGGTGGGGAGCCTTAGCAGGGAAGAGCTGTGGAAGAAACTTTGGCAAGATGCTCGCTATGATCTTGCCACCGTGCTTGCTTCCTTCGGTGTTCTCGTGTTCACAGTTTCTGTCCACTTCATGTCACGCCCAAGGTCTATTTATCTCATTGATTTTGCATGTTATCGTCCTGATGATGATCTCAAGGTAATAATTCTTACTATTTATCTCATTATCACCCCTTTTTGCCTCCTTTATTAGTGTCCTAAAAATGTTTTTTTTCGCGTCATTCTCGACTAAAGGTTTTTGCTCTCATGGATTATGTGACAACGAAACTTGACTTAAGCATTATGGTGCTGTTTTCCTAAAAAAAATCAGGTTTCTCAAGATGTGAAATTATATGTCAAATTGTGGGAATTAATTAATTAGGATATTCAATGACGTCATTTGGCATGATAAGTGACTCTGAGTCAAATCTGTTTTAAATATCTAGGATGAAAATTCAGAGGGAAAAAGTTGCCCATGTTCTGTAATTTCAGAATCAACGAGTTTTGTAAAAGAATAGAGAAAAGAGGAATCGTTGATGTTTATATGGAGCATCAACAATTATTACTATTATTTTAGAGGGTTTTCTATAGCATTAACAAATGGTTTTTAGTCAAATATTATAGATCCAACCCTATATATATATATATATATAGAAGTCTAATAATGACAATTAAATCCCACTGTAGGTGACGAGGGAGCAGTTCATCGAGCAAGCAAGGAAATCAGGCAAGTTTGATGAGGCAAGCCTCGAATTCCAAAGTAGAATTCTGAAATCATCAGGCTTAGGAGACGAGACCTACATTCCAAAAGCAATAATGTCACACGAGAATTGTGCAACCATGAAGGAAGGGCGTTTTGAAGCTTCAACAGTAATGTTTGGTGCCCTTGATGAGCTCTTTGAAAAAACCAGGGTCCGCCCCAAAGATGTAGGGATCCTCGTGGTGAACTGCAGCATCTTTAACCCAACGCCGTCGCTCTCTGCCATGATCATCAATCACTATAAGATGAGGGGCAACATTTTAAGCTTTAATCTTGGTGGTATGGGCTGCAGTGCTGGGATTATAGCGGTGGATTTAGCCCGTGACATGTTACAAGCTAACCCAAATAATTATGCTGTGGTGGTTAGCACTGAGATGGTGGGCTATAATTGGTATCCAGGCCGAGACCGTTCTATGCTGATTCCTAATTGCTTTTTTAGGATGGGTTGCTCCGCCGTGCTCTTGTCTAACCGCCGCCGCGACTTTCGCCATGCCAAGTACCGCCTTGAACATATAGTCCGGACCCATAAAGGAGCTGATGACCGTAGTTTCAGGTTTGCTTGTTTGGCCCGTTCTAATTAATTGCCTTTCAGATAAACTAGGTGGTGGAATTGGTTCACAGAAACTTAATGGGTAATATTTATACCACTCATCTTATCTTATCAGTTTTTAGGAGTCAGTTGAGAATGAATATATAGATTAGGGACTAAATTAGATGTTTATATTAAATGCTATTAGCATTTTTCATCATGGTTTTTAATTATATATATCCGCCAGCAGTTAATAGACACCATGTTCTGAATAATTAGAAAAAAAATTGTCAAACATTGATTTTTGGACTCCTAATTAATTTTGTTATTAAACTCGATGTAGATTAATCTAGAAACTGGCTTGGATTGAGTTTTAAAAAAAGTAGATAAGAGCGGTCCGCACTAGATGATTCGTCACAAGACGAATCATGGCTCATATCACTTTTCTCCCTCTCTCTGGAAAGAGATGTCCATTTTCTTGCCTTAGCTAATTCATGTACTTCCCTCCTAATTAGTGGTGTTGATCTGTTTTTATCTTCGCCACTCAATATGATTAGGTGTATTTACCAAGATGAAGATGAACAGAAATTCAAGGGGCTGAAAGTCAGCAAAGACCTCGTGGAAATAGGAGGTGAAGCCCTTAAAACCAACATCACCACGCTAGGCCCTCTAGTGTTACCCTTCTCAGAGCAGCTCCTCTTCTTTATCACACTGATTTGGAGGCACTTATCTGGAAAAAGCAACGGGTCCCCATCATCGCCACCGGCCAAGCCTTACATTCCAGACTACAAGCTTGCCTTTGAGCACTTCTGTGTCCATGCAGCCAGCAAGACGGTGCTCGATGAGCTGCAAAGGAATCTTGAACTGAGTGAGAAGAACATGGAGGCATCAAGAATGACACTGCACAGGTTTGGCAACACTTCTAGTAGCAGTGTCTGGTATGAGTTGGCCTACTTGGAAGCTAAGGAAAGGGTGAAGAGAGGAGACAGGATTTGGCAAATTGCTTTCGGGTCTGGGTTCAAGTGCAACAGCGTGGTTTGGAGGTCCATGGGGCGTGTGAGAAAGCCTTCTAGGAACAATCCTTGGCTCGATTCCATTGACAGATACCCCGTGCCTTTGTAAGCTGTGGATACCTGTCGATACTGGACTCGCACAAAGTGGGGCATTTGGCATTCTGCCATCCCTGTATATGGCTTGGCAGTTCTTTTTATTGATCTTAAAGTTGATGAATTTTAAGTCTCTAGTCTGTAGTATGATATTATTTAAGAATGTTCTTGAAGTTTTATATTTAAGTTAAAACACAAGTTCCGGTAGCGGTGTCACTAGGGAGCACAATCTATTTTGGAGCTTTGATTGCAAGTTGTGAAAAATAATTTAAGCACAGTCTGTCTGTCTAATCATAGTCGAACAAAAATACTACTGTGATTATTATTTGCATAGGACCAGTGCCTCCATTCTTCAAATTTTATCCAGCCCACGTTCCAGAAACATAAATTTTTTATCCAACAAAATTTTATCATGTATTATTTTATTTTAAAAAATAAAATAAATTGGATAAGATATTCAAGATATTTTATTATAAATAAAATTAAAATATATAACATGAAAAATAAATAAGGTTTTATATTTTTTTTGTTCAATGAAAAATTGATACCTAGGATGAGATATTTAATATATCTTGTTGTAAATATAAAATTCTATCAATAAATATATATCAACCAATAAATACTTGAGAGCCCTTATAGATCTTTATAAATAAAGAATCTCAACCTAAAAGCAAAGAATTCGTGAGATATAAATTTTTTTAAGATAAGCTATTCAAGAAAAAAAGCTCTCTCTATTCAAGTAAGGAAGTTCTTTTTAAAGTTGTTAAGCCTCTTTCATTTACGTTTGAAGTCTACAAAAAACAAAACTTTATTGGATCAAGTTTAAATATCCTATAAAATTCTTCAACAATACTTTAAAGATAAATCAAAGATATTTTTCAAAATATCAAATCATCAAATCTTGCTTCGCAATATACACTTAAATTCGTGTTCTTTCAAAGCACAAATCTTGGCTTGATTTCTCAAATAAATCAAGTTATCATGCATCAAATCCAAAGAAAGAATTGAAGGATTATCATATTTTTTTTAAAAGAATACATTAGATAGAGATTGTATCCGCTCATATATTTAATAAAAATATATATATGCGTATACATATACTCTTTTAATTTCAACTACTCAATATTATATCTACATACGTAACTTTTTACATAACGATTTTTAGGCACCGTTTAGGAACGTGGTATAAACCACGTTTTAAAAAAAAAAAATTACTAAACTTTAATATATTTTTTATATTTTTTATCATTTTAATATATTGATGTCAAAAATAATTTTTTAAAAATAAAAAATATATTAATAACATATATTTCAACATAAAAAATTATTTAAAAAATAATCTCAATCACACTACCAAACATGCACTTAATATTTCTTGAAGTAATTTCTAGCGTTACGTGCAAGTTTCACCTCCGTGGCTGGAGGCTTAGTATGATATACAGAACTCAAAAAATAATTGAGTTTCAAATTAAGTTGAGGATGTAAGCGTGATGACCATATTTGATCTGTTCTCGCAACTAACAAGCTTGGCCATATTTGATCTCTCGTGGCATTCGCAACTCCTTCAAGCTTGATCAAAACTGTAAACGAAAAATCACTCAGAATTTACTGCAACCATGCCCCTCAAATACACCATGTTCATATCCTAGTATTAACATACTAGGGCACCAAAACCCTTATCTCCAACGCCTAGTAACACCGTCTCATTGTCTTCTCCGCCAAAGAAACAACTTAATGACATTTTCGCATCCCTGAAACCACAAATAAACAAACATCATTTCAGTTCCATCAGTCCTGTCCGCACAGACCTGATTTGATTGCTTCGTACAGATTTCCAATTATTTTAAGCCTCAGAAATTGAAGAAAGATGCTATTAATCAATCAATCAAATCAGTAAGAATCCCTAATTTGGGCGTTTTAAGGAACCGAACAGCGTGGCAAGAAAAGAAACCGGTACGGTGTTTTGGCGCTTTGACAAGAGTTTGGTTTCAACTTATTATTTGTTTGTTTGTTTGTTTGGCCTGCGTGGCCTGGTTTTGTTTTTTACTTATTTATTTAATAAGAAGAAAAACGAATACAAGATCAAGGAAAAGGTTATAAATAGAGACAATTAATAATGGCCTAATAAGTTGTTTGAAGGGCGTTTGGAAGTTTTGTAGTGTTCACATGTTAAAGTGTTTTTTTATTGAAAAATATATTAAAATAATATTTTTTATTTTTTAAAAAATTTAATATAAACAAATCAATAAAAATATAAAAAAAATATTTTTCAATTAAAAAATATAAAAAAAATTAAATTTTTAGAAAATACAGTTTCATCACATTCTTAAATATTGCCAAAATTACCATCTACTTAATTGTATCATTTTGTTGCTTTTTTATTATTTTTTATTTGTCCCATGAATCATTATTTTTAAAATAAAATTTTGTTTTTGATATTATTATGATATTAGCTCCAATAATTTTAGTAATGGGTCATATAAGTGCTTAAAGATGATGGCCATACGAGTGAGTGGTGGATAACCTGTAAGTGAATTTTTTAGTATCATGAGATTTTTATTGTTGGGATTTATTAAATAATATTTTTTGTGTTGTCAATGAAATTTTAATGTATTTATAATATTTTTTTTTCTTTTCATTCTAATTTATACTAATTCATTTAATAATTTAAAAAAATCCTTCATCAAATCTAAATATTTTCTAGACTGTTATTTTTTTATTACTATGCTAACTTTCAAAAGAAACTCTCAGTCCATGCATGTATAACCACACTTATTAAATCCAGATAGCTTAATGAGTCAAGCCAGGATTCATTCGACTTGGTAATTGAATCAATACTTTCAAAAGAAACTCTCAGTCCATGCATATATAACCACACTTATTAAATCCAGAGAGCTTAATGAGTCAAGCCAGGATTCATTTGACTTGGTAATTGAATCAATCCAGATAAAATTAAAAACCGACAAGAGTAATAAAATAATCAAACTTAGTTGACCCATGACCTAGTCAACTCGACAAAACTCGAAAGAGATTTTTTTTCAAAAAAATATGATTTTTCTCCTAGTCAAAAACATTTTTTTAATATTTTTTAATTGATTATTAATCTTTTTAAAAGTTCATTATATAAATAATGGAAGAATATTTTATTTTTTCATTATGAGATTTAAAACCTTTAGATTTTATTTTTTCATTATGAGATTTAAAACTTATATTTTATATTCATAAAAAAAAAAATTTGAAATAATTTTTTAAATTTTATTATTTATAACATAAATAATATATATTTATATGAATTATTTTTTAATTTTTTATATAAAATATTAAATTTTTTTATTTTTTTATTTTA